GGCACCGCGGGATAACAGGCGTACATAGTGAGATTCGAATCCAGGTATGAAGAAAGGGGACAAACCCCTCCCACCACTAGGCCAAAACCTCATTTGCAGAATTGTATTTTTAGAACAAAATATATAGTAGAATTTTAAATCCATAGCAACACTTACCTTAAAAGAAGGTCGGGTATGAATCCATATGATAGTGAGTTTCGGGCATGAATCCATGGTGCTTCTGCCATGCAACTTCTACGATGCACACCTTGCGTTTTAAGTGTAGTTTGGATTTATTCTTGATAATACATGAAAAGCCGGTTGCACAGCATGAATCTCTTGCTATCATATGGAACCTACATATAGTTGAACTGGGACGTCTGCTACTGAATCTTCAGTATAGTAGATTATCATACTCGTTCCTTAACCACTTCCTTCCTTCCTTGAAAGATATAGCAAGATTTGATTCGGTAGTCCACCACTAGATGATTTGCTCTGTTTTTTTCTGAAAAAAGAAACTAATATGTGGAAGAACATATTCAACCAGCTTCATTGCCTATGAATACCAGCTGTGCTAATTCTTTGATATTGTCAGCTTCATCCAACATTGATCTCTCTCATGAGCAACGATAATTGTTCTTCGTGGCTCCCATCCTCCCACTGCTAGTTAGCTCATCTACTGACAATCATTTGTATATTGTACACTTAGCAAAGTTACAAGATGCGATCTGACGGGTTGACTTGAGGCTTAGCCCGAGTTAAGTCAAGAAAAACACTTATATTGCCTCGGGTTGATCCACGATTCGGGCCTTGGACTGGGTGGTCGAATCGGTCTTATGACTATGTATTCAATAAGTTCATCAGGACGAGCTCTCACGCCTGATGTGAGGATTGGTCCAATCCATGTGAGGTATTGTCTGCTTTAATTACGTAGACTCACAGTTTTGGAACACACAAGATGTGTCACGAGTTAGAAACTTTGACTAGAAATTCAGTACACATCTGATATGGGATTGTGATAACACCTAGCATAATTGAGTTTTGATATCCTGGAACCTTTTAAATATCCGTCATTGCTGCAGGTCTGTCTTCCACAGCTACAATATCTCGGAATAGCAGAAGCTCCTCGGTCAATGGAAACTTTTGGGCAGATTGTTAAGCCAAGTGCACTGAAAGGAGACCATGGTCCCTTATCCTGAGGAATTGTCGCTAGAAGAGTTGCAGACCCTTGTCTGCTTCAGTCCTGCATCAGGTGTTAAATGTGCAACTGTTCCAATATGACTACATTGACATTGACTACTGCAGCAATTGGTGCCGAATCAGAGGTAAGTCTTGCACTTGTTTTACTTTGCTATAGGCTTATCTCTTTCTCACCTGGTGTTTGTTTCTTGTTTTGGTCAATAACAAGATTTACCAAGCGTAGTCTTCAATTGCTTTACAGACACCTAACTGGTTGAGGAATTAAGCAATAGCTGCTCCCAACGTACTGGCACTGACAAAATGTGGACTCAAAATGATGAACAGGAAACCCTATCTAGCACAGAACAAGAAGAAGTAGAAAAGGCAATATATTCCTAATATTTATTTGATCAATTCCAGATGTAGCAAGACATTCCTCAAGGCAGTGCTCAGGAGGGGACAGAGCACCGAGATAAGGAAACCGACAATCAGGAGAACTGAGGAGAGATTATTCAAGAAAATCATCATCATGAACCTGAGGGAACCCTTCAAAAGACTCCTGAAGAATTTTTGCAAGGAACTTCTGCTCTGGCTGTCACTGCCCATGTAATGCACCCAGGCAACCAAGAAGAAATGTCGAAGGAAACTGTCCCTTAGCCTGTAGTTATGGCTGAAACAAACCTTCGCTTAAGCCATGCGACTATATGAAGCAGAAAAAGCCTACAGAAGCTCAGGTAGAGCAATGAGTGAGTTCCTCCTCACAGACGACTTCTAATGCCCAAATCTCTAAAGTTAAGTGAGTTGCTTAATATGAAAGCTGAGGATCTTGTGGATGCTTAAGAATTTGAGAAACTTCAGGGCTTGTCGATGAAAGTAAATTCTGTTGGGACGGGTCTCACTATCAGGTCTCGAGCTGATGCTGCGGATATCGCCAATTGGGTTAAATTCTATGGCAGGCACATGATGGACATTCGCAAGAAGAAAACTGAACTCGCAAAGCAGGTTGAGGAAAAAGAAAATGTGAAAGCAGATTTGCAAAGGGTGGTCCTAGATGAACGTGGATCATTAGAAGTTGAGATTTCTACAACCACTTCTGAAATCTATGCTTTGGAAAAAAAAAATTCAGGATCTTCAACTGCAATTGCAGAACAGAAAAAAAATATGCATAAGCACACTAACTGCTGCTCTCTCTAATGTCTCAGACCAATAATGAATACTTGTTCTGGCACTGCAATGAATCAGTAGCATATTAAATGACAGGTATGGGGAATAGTGAAAGTCCAGACCTCCTCTTGTCCACTTGTTAAAATCCTTGCGCAATATGTCGACTGCTTTAAGATCAGAGATATCATACATTTTGTATCTCACTGCAAAAGCAAGAGTTTAGCTCAAAGATTAGAGAACAATCTGCATGCACACAAGCTTTGAATTGCAGCAAACTTTGTATAAAAAACAGAAGTTCCAGACCAAAAGAGACTCACTTAACTGGTAAAAACCATTGGATCCAAAGCGACCAGCACCATTGAGTAACAAAGTAGCTATGTACTTGTCTTTCGTTGTGCAACGAGGACTAGTAAGATTTCCATTGTCCATTAGGATGCCAGCTAACTGATCGAAAATCAACCAGATTAAGAAGAGAAATTTGGTTCCAAATCAAGATTGAATTGAAACGCTTGTATGTTTGTCCAAGTCATAACTTTTGTCCACCAGAAAGTAAAGAAAATAAATGGAATTGAAAAGAACAGGAAACTATTGTCCACGAAGTTGATTAAATTCAACTGATATATGTGAAGAAACCAAAAGAGAAATTTGAGAAATATATAAAGAAAATGATATAATTAGTAGATCATGATTGAACAGGAAAACGAAAGAAGCTAAGGACATGTTTATTTCTCAAAAATTGATTTTCAGAAAATTATTTTCTAAATGTTTTTGTATTTATTTGTCATTAAAATAATTAATCAATAAAAAATACTTTTCAATTAATTTTTTTTTGATATGGTTTCTACGAAAATATTTTTTTAAAAAATTTGGGTGTAAAACATGAAAGTTATGAAAATATAGAGATATTATATTATTTAATGATTATATCAAAGTTGGTCCTCAAACTTTTGATTTCTATATGTATTTTATTTTGAATATTTATTATTTAATTTCATCTCTTAAAATTTAATTTTTATATTAACTTTAATTTTTATTTTTATAATTATTATTTGCTTTTTCCTTATTATTTTTTTTATTAAAATTTTTTATCTATCAAATTCGATCCTCATTCTTTTGATTATTACTTATTTTGTTTAAAATAATTTATGAAATATTAATATTATTATTTCAATTTCTTCATCTTTTATTTTTTTATTTTTAGATTTGAACTCTATTATTTTAATTATTATTTATTTTATTTGATATAATTTATGAAATTATATTTTTTTTAATTTTATTTCTATTCAACTTTTTAATTTGTAAGATTTGTTTCTTATTATTTTAATAAACTTCAGAAAAATAAATATTAATAAGTTATTTTCCAACTTATTTTCCATGATATAATCAAATATTCAAAAATATTTTTCAATTTATTTTTAATTATATTATCAAATATCAAAAAATAATTTATTTTCTTGAAATTTATTTATTTATTAAATTATTTTTTAATAAACAAATAAAAAAAATGAAATTATCTGGGCCTAGGAGCAGTAGGTACCATTAGTCTGCTGAATCCTTTCCTAGCCAATAGCTCAGGTGAAGTCAAGAACAACTTCTGAGCAATAAAGGTACAGCATGAGCAGTCCTGCACAGATGCAATAGCTTATTCAAACACTTGTTGAGAGTGATAACTGTTAGATGGTCTCAAGATATGTAGAAAATGATTTTCCTTACATATTATTTGTTTACAATGTACATCTATATATTGGAGATTTGTTTGGCTGTTTGACTGTTACATGAAGTTATAACCAACATTAAAGACTATAATTGCAAAGAACACAAATAATTTTGACCAAATACACAAAATCTCTTTAACATCCTCCCTCAAACTTAGCAGACCTGCACAAAAAAATTTGTAAGCAAAAAAACCAGGACGATGCTTATGAAGGGGCCTGATAAGAAAATTTACAAGTTGATCTATTAAATGGATAAAGTAAATATGATGGCTTTCAAATATGATTTTTTCATAAATAAAATGATAATTAAATTTAATATATTTAATGCAAGCATGAAATATCATATTAGAAGCAATGTAGTTTGCATTGAGGTTATTATAACGCAAGAGAATGGAAATCTGAATTTAAGCACCAGGTTTATATAGCCAGTAGACTAATCAAATAGACTCTGCACTAGGATGGAAAAGAAAGCAAAACTCAAACTTAACATTTGAAAAAGTAATGACAAACTTAAATTATTAGGTTGTATAATTGTTTAATATAATATCAAAATATTAATAATCAAGTGGTTATATGTTTAAATCTTATTATTTTTATTTATTTAATAAAAATAAAGTATGAAATAATATGAGCCTGTTTAAATTTTAAATTTAAAGGATCTTCATTGTAGGAGATGTTAAAAAATTATTTCTACTCAGTAGCTTAAGTTTTTAGATAAAATTCAAGATATGATTTATATCATTTTATAATGCATCTACTAAAGTAAAAAAATTTTAGATTTGAAATTTATATAGATTTATATTATTTTATGTTTAATTTTATAATAAATAAATAAAAATAATAATATTCTAATGAAGATAATAAGATTTGGAGTGGAAGACAAGAAGAAATATAGTAGAAACAAAGACCTGAAAGTTTACTGGAAAAGAAAACAAGTTCTCATATTGTATGAAACTGACGCAGTCAGATTCGGTACTCATCAGTCATCTCCGCAACAAAAAGCAATGCAAATGCATAGTTTCCCGCATCATACCTGACCAAGAGTAACATTCTCAACCCAAAGATACACAGATTCACCCTGTTAAACTGAAAGAAAGGCATGTTAGCCATTTCATTTTATGAAAACCTTGGAAAGAAGAGAAATGTCAAGAAATAACCCCCGAGCTCACAAAATGCGCTTTTCTGCATTTGAACACTTCAACGACCGCTTCCTTTAGTGTCTGTTCAAGAGAAGGAAGAGAAATAATTATCTTTCTTATTTACCAATGGCCGTTATAATAATAATAACAATAATAATAATAAAGCTTTTCCAAAGAATCACTACCACTTGTCTTGTTTGGAGCTTGTGTCCATTCCGTAGATCTAACTTGAGATACCCAAACAGATCATAATATGAAAGATCAATCTGCTCAATGTAACCAGCCAGTCAACTAAAAGCTTGATTCTGCAGTACTAGAGGATAATATTGAAGAATGGGAAAATGAGGAAACATATATTTAATTAAGCAATGTAATCGACACAAAGAATACCTCATCTACAAGGATTAAGGATGACTCATCAAAATGACATGAATCCAGCAAACATTTTAGTTCTGCATGAGAACTTAGGTCTTCCCTCTTCATATTAATGATAGGTACAGTGCAGAACTCGTCACTTTCGAGTGTTTCGTTCAAGTAGAAAGCATACATGATGGTTGAAGCTAAGGATCCAACATCTATAAACAAAAGAAAACGAAAGTTGGATTGTAATCGTAATGACATGCTCTTTACAATAGCTTAGAATTGTCCAAACCCGAGCTTCAAGCAATTAGAAGGAAGAGATCAAGTTAACTCAAAGATGTCCGTGTATGCAGAAGAATAGTGCATAATCTTAAAAGCCAATGACAAGTAAAAGACAGGGCTCTGGGAGAAAAAAGGTCAAGGATTGAAGAGGTTAATAAAGATTGTCTTCAGAGTAGAACAAAGGAAATTACCTGAAACATCCTGGCCAATTACAGCATGCAAGAATTTTCCCGGAACACCACCACTCACATCATTCTTTCTAGCTTTCAAGTATAAATTTAGCCTCATAGTGCTGTCACATGATTCCAAAATTTCAAATTGTGGGGAATATCCATTATAAAATGATGCGGCTGACTGAGGAGGCGGAATCTTTGACAGGTTCGATTTCCTATATTTCAGAACAAATCATTTTTCAACTATAGGTCTTGCTAGGACAGGAACACTTTGGTGTGCTTCAGTTGTTTCAAAGGTATCGGGACTGGATGCTTTCACTACATCATTTGTACCGCCTGAATCAACGCTGGAATCAAATTGAGAACTTTGGAATTCGAAAGTGGTTGATGTAGGAATCTTCCACAATGTCCCAAATGCAGTCTGTTCGAAGGGTTCAAGAATGTCTGAGACAGAATCCTTTATTGGCAAGTCCTTGGACGTTCCAGAGATATCTGAAAAAAATTTACTTCTCAAATCTCCAATATCTGATGTTGAACGAGAAATTCTCGGCTGCCACTTTCATTACCTCTTAACAGACAAGCAAAGAATGGATGCTCTTGGCCACGATTGTACGAATCCTGCCAGCCAAAAGAAAAGGGACAATATTGTATCATATAAAAATATGTTTGTATCCAATTACTCTCATCATTTTGGCCATCATCGTCACTGTCTTGATGCCTGTTACACTCCAATAACAGTAACACCATAGGAAATTTTCTCTATGCAAGGAGGTTTGTTCAAAGAACAGGCAGACTATTAAAAATAAACTGATTTCTAGAAATTAGTTGAAACTGTTAATTGAAAATAGATTGACTAGTAAAAACAGAGCAATTGACTAGAATAAGTTGAATTAGTTGATAGGTTTAGAAACAGTCGATCGATTCAATTGACATAATATAATTTATGTTCAGATTAAGATTTTTGGATTAGTTTAAGTTTTTAATTGTCTAGAATTTTATAACTATATAAAAAAAATTATTCAAGATTATTAAGCAACATAAAAAAAAAACAATAAATAAAAAAGTTCTAAGAGTAACACTTAATAAAAATATATTTTTTTTCGATCTTGAGTTTTTAACTTTATTTTTGTTTTTTGTTTTTATACCACAATTAATTTTTCCTTCAACACAGGCTGCTGAATTGAGAGAGGATGTGCATCAACTATCGAACCAAAAAGAACTTTGTATGACAAGGACATTACTGAGGGGGAGAGAAATCATGTTTCAGATGTTGCCTCGGCAACTTGATCTTGATCCTCTTGTAGCTACTTCATTCTATTAGGTTGGTTGTCATTAATGTGCAATAACCATTGACTATTGTAGCTGGAGTTGTACCAACTATGTGCACCCATCCAAGATGTCAAAGGTTGGCAGCCATAATTGTTGAATGAGCTAGAGTTGGTGGCAACAAACCAAGAATAGCCTCCATGAATGCCTATAAATAGAGGCATATGTAAGAGAGCAAAGAGAGAAGAAAAAGAGCCAAAGATGTGAGAAATATAGGAGAGAGTGAGCTGTCATTCAGCACTAAAAAGAGAGAAATAGAGTGAGGTTGAGAGTTGCTCAAAGAGGGGATGATTCCTCCTCCTTTATTGTTGTAAATCTTATTCTCTCCCTACATAATGCAATGGCTTCTCCCGTGGATGTAGGCGATTTTGCCGAACCACGTTAAATATTGTGTCAGTATGCTTGGCCTCCTATTAGCAAATATCAGTACATCACCGGTCGGAATTCCTAACAATTGGTATCAGAGCACATGGTTCAAAGTGGTGTTTGATTTTGCTCAAAAATGAAAGCTGTCAAAATTGTGTTTTGACCATACCACTATGTAGAGGAGGAAGAGACGAAGCCACTGGTGAAAACCGCGTCGAAATCGGAAATCGGAAACCGCCGCACGCGCTGGCGAGGGTAGCAGTTCTGCACAGTCATCAGACACGTCGCCTGACACATCAGCACTCTGGCCAGTCAAACTGCCACGTCATTAGGCACGTCAGCAGTTCTGCACAGTCATCAGTCACGTCACCTGACATATCAGCACTCCGACCAGTCAACCGAACACGTCAGCGGACACGTCAGCTCTGCCATGTCAGCACCAGTCATTAGCCACGTCATCATTGTGGGACCCACTACCACGTCACCAGCCGCGAGTCGAGGGACAGGATTCTGTGTGGCGGAGTCTACGTGCAACCGGTTCTGAGATTGAATCTGAGCCGTTTATCAAGCCAGAATTGTTTTGATCAAATCTTAGCCGTCTGAAGTGCGATTTGGACGATTTCAGACTTGTTTCCAGCTAATTTGATCATTTCGGATGCAATGGTACGGTCCGATTGTTGAGATTGAGATCAGAAATGGCAGTGATGAATTATTAAAGAGAGATTGCCCGATCAAGAGGCATCTGATGATCATCATGGTGGTCGATGGAGATGAAGAAGAAGAAATCACATATGTTTGCCTAATTACATGTGTTGAAGTGTTATATGAGGAATTTTAATTGTCTTGAGGGAAGGCAAAATTGGGACACTCTAAACACCCGATCATGTGGACAATTTGAGGTGGAGAGTGAAATTTGATGAAGACCAATCTTGACGAATCTGAGCACTGGTAGTCTCGCCAGATGTTGAGAAATCAGGTATAAAACCAGGATACCCCAGATCACTTGTAAAGGAAAGCCGCGACAAAGCTAGCAAATGGTTGTATATACGAAAAGACAGTACGATGGATAGATATGGTCTAAGAAGTTCTGGCTAGGAGATTGGGTTTTAAGCGGGACCGTTATGACCCCTCCAATCTTTCCTGGGAACTTGCTTAGTGGAAGGATTATCCATACGGTACTATTTTCGTATATATGACAGTTTGTTATGAAACTGTTGAAGACTAGCAGGATGACGACACAAAGGAATAGTTGGGTTCTGTATGATCAAGGATCTGATGGAGTGGTGATTTCTCCAAGGAAGTTAGATTCGGTGACTGTAATTTCTCGAGGGGAGAATTGATGAAGACCTTGATAATGGAAGAGAAATACAGCAAAGGGATAAAGATTGGCACCCTATTTTGACTTGGATAGATGTTGTGATAGGATGAGCTGTTGTCAAACATAAGCAAGGAATAAGGAGAAATTTGGAGAGCCAAAATTGCACAAGAGCACACAAAGATTGTGTAGGAGTACCCGGAGGATCCAATGAGGTACTATAATGAGACAACAGGTGCAAGGAGAAGAAGAGTTCCCAGATGAAGCTCAGAGTAGAGACTATGAAAAAGTTGTACAACAAAAGTCTCTTGTGCTCTTGATAAAGGCAACAAGCAAGGACCTTTCCAATGCATGCAAGGATGGAAAGATGAGCTGTTGCAGATGCACCTAATTGAGGGGGTGCAAACGCCTGTGATAAAAGGCGACCGCCTATGATGAAAGGCGAAGACACCAAAGGGAGTTAGTGTGGGTGGAGCTGTTAAGCAGAAAAGGCGTAGAAGCTCCAAACATAGAAATTGAGGTGGAGGATTGTGAGGAGTATACCGTAACTTTCTCTTTCTATGTAATTAGTGGCAGATAATTTATGGAGCCACTTTGAAGCATCTCAGCTAAAGGAGGATGCGACCGCCTATAAAAGGCGAAGACACCTTAAAGAGAAGGTGTGAGGGCTACGAGATGAGCCCATGATTAGACCGCTGCATGACGATGAGCGGAGACACCTCAGGAGAAGGTGTGAGGGCCGTGGAAAGAGCCCAGTTCATAACGCCCCAGATCCTATGTGATGGCTAGGTATGAGTTGATAGATGAATAGCCAATGAAAGGGCTATGATGAGTATAGAGACAAATGCAGGATTGACTTTCATGGATATTGCCCCCATGCTAAAGATTAATGAGCTAGAAGACATTTGCCTTGGACAATAAGTGGATGACTTGTGGAGCATTAAGACGCGACTGCTATGAAGGAGTAGAGGGCATGCGCATGTTCCGGGAACAAGTTGACTCTTGTCAAGGTGGTGAGCTCGGTAATGGCATTGTAATACTCAGAGTATGAAGACAGATATGGATCAACCTTTTATGGGTTGCCCCCATGGTCAAAGGTGAAAAGCTACCTGGACTCTTGAGACTAAGAGTGGGAGACTTATGGAGAAGTAAGGCGTGGTTCCTAGGGTGGAACAGAGGGCAGACGCAACTCCTGGATGAGTAGACTCTTGGAAGAGTGGTGAGCTTGTGATCATATTGAGATACTCGGATAATAACTGTCTCACTTGAAATATCCGTTTGAGGGGGTGTTATAAGCCTTGATGTGAGGCTTGATGAATCATTCCGGACCGAGCATGGTTGATACGCTCGAAGGGGGATGTTGTTCCAGAGACAAGCGTTAGCATTATTTAGATGTGATGTGGCAGACCATCTGGTTATAGTGATCCTTTTGTGCGAGAAAAGGTGTGCTTTGGTTACTCTGATGATTGAAAGATTTGGCAAATACCTATAAACTTGGCCAAAGATGCTCTCAGAATGGAAAGCTTGGAAGAGCTGCAAGATGCAAACTTGTGTTGAAGAAGCAAAGAGGACAGTTGCCCCACATGAATGGTAAAGGAGGTGATTGTTATGTTGGTTGCCATTAATGTGCAACAACCATTGACTATTGCAGCTGGAGTTGTACCAACTATGTGCACCCATTCAAGATGTCAAAGGTTGGCAGCCACAACGAAATCTTGGCAAACCTCCAAAGCTTCTGAGCAAAATGAGTGATATTCTTGAAAGAATAACTCACTAACCTTCAAGTCTAGGCTCATTTACAAAGTGTTTAATTGAAAATTAAATCAGCCTAAAGGAAGTATCTTGAACAAGATGCTAAATTATTAAAACCTCTGAAAACTAATCTGAATACATACACTTTGGTGAATGATTTATGAAGCTGATAAATACCCTGATCAGCGTATTGTCAAACAATGAAAGGGAGGATCATATGCTTGTCAACATATTCTATATGCTTATTTTGTACTTTTAGTCTCTGACATTGTAGACTACTTCCTAGTTCCTCCTGGCTACCTACCTCGTTTTGCGATGTAATGTATCTATGAAGAAGGCATAGTAAAAAAGTTATTCGATCAGAAGAGCATAACTTCCTCAAGAATGTGACATGATATTGAATAATAACAGTCTTAACGTTCAAAAAATGGAAAATAAAGGTAGACCAAGAAATGAGTAGAAAGGTTTTCAGCAACTAACCGGGGCCATTGCTTTGGGAGGCCTCATGATGGTGGAAATGGAGACCAAAGAGGAGTAATGGAGACCAAATGTTTGAAACAGATAAACATCGTCATGACAGCAGTTCTTGCTATGTCCAGAACTGCAAAACCAAAGTCCTCTTGTTTCTTAAAATGTGCCTAGCCTATGGAATGTAGGAATATTTCTTTCTAGCCATTAATTTGGCTAGCACATCTCTCTCTCTCTCTCTCTCTCTCTCTCTCTCTCTCTCTGTGCCTAGCCTATGGAATGTAGGAATATTTCTTTCTAGCCATTAATTTGGCTAGCACATCTCTCTCTCTCTCTCTTTTTCCTTCTATTTTCATTAAAAAAATTCTCCATTTGGCCATTTGTTATTCCAAAATATTTAAGAACTGATTTCATTGATATGGATTGATTTCCAATATAGTTTCTATGGATTATTTTTCGATGTACTTGAATAATTTCTAACATAGTTATAAAACTCGGTGTAATTCTCATTTAAGATTTAAATTATAGGTTGGATGGTTAATGTTAATTCAAAATGATTTTTTTAAAATTTTTTTAAATAAAATAGCATTGTTATTTTTTAAATCAAATTAATTCTTATCCTATCAGATTTACTAGCTAGATTTAATTGGAACAACTCCCATATTATTTGATATAAAACTCAATTAAAACCGAGTCCAAAGTAAGTGGGTTAATAGATTAATCCATCAAATTAGTTAAAGTTTAACAATAATTGAATTAATGGGTTTGTGAACTTGAGTTTGGCTGGTATCCCATGCTGAATTTTACACTGTTTTCTTCTTTTTTTATGGGAAAAGAAAGGATAAAATGATAAACTAGTGATATGAGTCAAGATAGTGTATTTAGCTACTTTTCTCCTTAAATTCACATAATTTTGGTTTTTGAAATTAAATTTTATATTAATTTAGAACATCAAAACTAAGCACTTCTTTTGATGATATAAAATTCATTTATATTCAAAATGAATAAACAATAAAAACGACAAAATTCCTTAAAATTTCAACACAAAATGAGATAAGATAGATATGAAGCCTCAAAATCAAATACTTAAGATAAACAATGGAAGGTCCATTAACCTCACTCAACTTCGAAGAAAATATTATTAAAAGGTTATATAAATATAAATTTTATTATTTGTACTAAATGGACTCCATTAAATTTAAAATAAAATAAAATAATGAGGTAAACTAGATCTGTAAAACTAAAGATGATGTGAGCGAGATGCATGTCTAAAAGCATGGAACTTGGCGGGAAAAAAAAAGAATTTTTATTTTAATAAATTACATAAACTAATACTATTAAACCAATTCTGCATTGCCCATATATTTTCATTTTTTTAATATAATTTTAGAGAAAATTTAAATAAAAAAATCCTTATCGAAGCAACGATAATACTATCTTTTTTTTTTAATTGCGTTTTTAATGTTTTCTCTCTCTTATTCATGATTTTTTCTTCTTCTTTTATAGTTAACTAAATTTCCTCATTCAACTTTTTTTTATTACAAATTAATTATTTCAAGTTTTTAATTGTAATAAATCATAAGCTGTTATCAAAAGAGTTTTCGATGACACTATTGGAAAACTAATTATTTAATAAAAAATTAAAACACTAATTAAATAATAAATCATAATATGCTTTTTTTATTGGAAAGATTATTCGGTCCATGCTATAGTTTAGTTATTTCTATATTTATTCTTTATGTTTTTTCAAAATTACAGTTTATATTTTTAATAAATATAAAATAAATTAAACTATAGAATAGTTTTATATAAATTATTACGCGTGCAGTAGAGTCTAAGATATAAAATGACACCACTGCAAGATTTTATTTTCTTGACCCACCACTGACCATGAGATTCACAATAGTTTGGGGGGGACCCTGAGAAATACTCAGCAAAATTAATCTTTTCAATTAATTATACCAACTAAATATTTTTAATTTTTTTATTTCTTCAATCTTAAAATGCTAATCAAACACAAACGCAATCTCTACCTCTGCATTACTACTAATGACTAAACATCTCATAATTAATTTTGTTGTGTAAGATAAGATTATGCTATAAGGCAATCATGATGTTCATGACTTGTAACCTAATCAATGTCCAAGAAAGTTAACGTCTTTTGAATTTCATCTTTTGACCAGGAAATTAAGCTCTAGTTAATTGGCTTTTTGGATTAATTCTCTGTTTGCAATTCATGGCAAAGCCCACACCAGCTGGTCCTACCTCCTAAAGCGTGCATTAAACAGGGAATTCCCCTTTACTTTCTCAGTTCATCATATATACATGAAAACCCATCTCTGTCTAGCTAGCCATTTAAGTTTCTGATCAGATAATGTAAAGAGTTCCATTTTTTCCGAAGCTCAGGTCGCCGGCAAAATATGAATGATCATTGCATTGTCGATGGAATGAAGGGCCTTACTTCTTAAAAGACGATTGTGCCTCTTTGCATCTCAGTGACCAAATCTCAAAATTCAGCACTTCAGCTACTGATTTGCTTTTATCAAATTTCTTTTAATTATACTGCTATCATATGTTTAATTTTGTGCAATTATATCCTGATACCTTAATTTCAAATGATTAATGATTAAGTTTGATGACCTTTCGGGATATAATTTTTTTTTATTTTATTTACGTTGGTGTCCGGACTAACTTGCATGCACCACGACTAATTCCACAGTATACTGAATATTTTGCAAGCCTAGTGAACATGTAAGGCACCGTAGGGATGACAGGCGTGCACGATAAGGTTCGAACCCAGATACAGAGGAAGAGAACAAGTCCCTCCTACTACTAGACTAAGACCTTAAATGCATCTTCAGGATATAATTAACTTAGTGGCAAGGGCTACTGGGGGTTTAAATTAAATAATAAAGAAAATATTTATTCAACTTGGAAGTCTAAATCCAATTAATTCTAAATATATATACAGAGGAGTTTATAGTGTTTACGAGTAATTAATTATATCTTATTAATTATTTTTTGAACATGAAATAAAAAGATACAACTAGTATAAAGAAATTATTATTAATTTTTATGGGTCATTTATTTTATATTTTATTTTATGTTGGTGTGAAAAAAGTAAACAAAATCATGAGATTTAATTAAATTTTAATAAAACCACTGCTAAAATCACCTTCAAAACAATATATTTTCACCTTGTGCAAACCTAAACTCATTTTATGTCACTTCAAGTGCAATTATTCCATTTTCACTGTTAAAATCACCTTGAAAATTACATATTTCCACCAATGTGAACTCCTAGATTCATTTTATGTCACTTCAAGCACAACTATCCCATTCTCTCTTAACCATCTTGTTCATCATACACTCGGCTAAACATGCGATCTATATCCATTGACTACGAAACATTGATGAAACCACCATTCACAGAATGTTACAGATCCATGGTAACAAGAGATCAGATTTGAGCTGAGGAGCTTTGGGCTAAATCAAAATTCTTGATGCATTAATTCATATGATATTGACCCACTTAAAAACAATGTTTAAACAATGTTAATTAAGTTATTTTCTCTCAGAACGCCTTAGTTGTATTTTGTTCTTTTCTTCTCTTCTCTCTTGACTAATGCTTGATTTGACTACAAGAAAGATTATTATTTTTCTTGGCTAACCATTTATATCGAAGTTTGTTTTTTCTTGTATAATTGTAGTCATTAAATTCAGATGCGACCGTTAATACATGATTTTAATGCATAATTGTCTAAATTTCCAATGCCCACAATTGTTTTCTTGGGTGTTAGTACTTCCCATGTTTTTGTTATGTCATATCTTAGCAATCAAGGTAGTATTTCAGTGCAATATTTGAGAGGGAACCCAAGATATGGTATGATACACATTCTTGATGTGTCAAGATCAAAGTAAATTTCAAATTTGGTTGCTCATAAATCCTCCAATTTGTTCATGTGATTCTTATGACTGGATGTTAACAATTAGTGTATCCTCCAATACGTTGAGGTTTTTTTTTTTTTTTAATATTTCACACTATACAAACATAAAAAAAACTTTAAAAATATATTTTTCTATCTAACATTTTACACAAAATTCTGAAATTTTAACTTATAAAATGAACTCACTTGTATATTGATACACTATCCAGCACCTCAAGTATGTATTATATTGCAACTTACAAGTGCTTGATGTGGTTAAACGAGCTAAAATAATGCGTTTTATGATGTTTTTTCATATATTGAAATCATCATCTTAAAACATCAAATCATCTCGTTTTTTCAGTCCGGAAAAGTTTTTCAAAAGCATTTCGACTGCAACACCAAGCACATGCACTCTTACAATTTTCCCAACTCTTTTTACCATATCCATAACACTACAAATACCCAGAGAAGCTTTGCCAACATCATATGGACGTGGGTGACTATATGCCACAACAAGTAAAGAAACTTTTAGACTAAGAGCGACAGCAACAGCATCATCATCATCATCATCATCATCATCAAACAACACAGGAGAAAAAACATCACTTGAATATAGAAAGCACAGGCACAAAACCAGCGTAAATGAAACTTATTAGCAGATAGACCGACCATCTAGAATGGAAACCAGCGTAAATGAAGCTTATTAGCAGATAGACCGACCATCTACAATGGGTCCTGCTTGAAAGATTTCTTGTCTATCCAAAGTTGATGATCAGGTGTGTTAAGAGCATCACCAAAAGTGATTGAAAGAAAGATGATCAACTAGGGACCATCAAAGGGCATAGTATTTGACAAGTGAGTCATTCGGATTTGTCTCCGGTTCAAGGTCCAAGTCCAGTTACTAAAAAAAACCAGCCATAAATTTGTTAGAAAATTATGATAAACAGAAACAATGAATAAAAAAAAAGGAACCTAGCTAGGTATAAGAGGTTAAATAAATGGCAATATAGTCAGTCTACAACAGCTAGTAAAAAAAATAAATGGCAGGATTAAAGAGTTGTCTTGTAACACGAACTTGTAACATGTAGCTGTGACAACAATTTAAGAAAGGTAGGAGTGATGACAGAAGGTCTAGAAAGTATAGATGTTGTCTAGTACATGGGAGGTAACATGTGGTTTTTCCTTTGTTCCAACCTTAATTTTATGTGTGAGCTTCCATTATTTCCTTGTTAGTTAGCTAATATTATAATTTATTATATAAATATTAAAAAAAATATTTTAGTTTTTTAATATAAAATTAAAAACACATTAATAAATTTATTTTATGTTTACATGATAGAGTTGTCACCACTACAGTGTAAAAAAAAACCCTAAAAAACCTCAATTGTGCCATTACTAGAATAAAAGAACATTTTTTTTAGTAAATGTTATTTAATTTGATCACGCTTCTTAACAACTTGAATAATTTTTTTAGTAAAAAATATGCAAAGCTTTTCAAATCTTTTTTTACAAAAAAAAATGCTAATTATAAAAAAAAAAGATTATACATGCATTCAATTAAATAAATTAAAAATTATTTGTGATCATAAATGCAAAAAAACAAAAATGTTAACATGTGTATTTGACTTGCCTAATTGTACATGGAATAAATGTTTTTCTAACACAAATAAACTAATGTGAAAAAATTATTAATGTTTTTTTACAACAAATAAGAAAATATAATTATAAATAAAAAAATTCAATGCTTATATATAATAAAAAAAAAATTGTATGCATTAATAAGTAAGCTGCTCAATTTTAACATAATAAAAAAATAGAATAATATTACAATCACTATATTGAAATAGTATTTTCATAGTCTTTTTATAATAATTTTAAAAAAATATAAAAAATAAAAATATGAACAAAAAATATTGCATAAATAGGTCAAGTCTAGAGTGATAAATATTTAAATAATAAAGAATAAAAAATAATATTTTTTTAAGAACAATGTGAATAAAAAAAGGAAAAAGTAAAAAAATTACAAAAAATAAAGAACTCATGCTTGGTCAGAGACTCAAGTCTCCTTTAAAAAATAAATTGTTATTGGAAAGAATCTTTGTTAACAAAAGATTGTTATTTTTAGTTTTTTTAATTTTATGGTCAAACCTGTGTTTAGATATGTTTTAAAAATAAATGTAATATAAAAAATAATTAAATTAATATTTTTTAGTGTTATTAAAAATAAAAAATATTCAAAAAATATTTATTTTTATATATTTTTAAAAAAATACTTAAGAAAAAAACAAGAAGTAGCTAGGTAAAATATTTATTTTTATATATTTTTATATATTTTATATGGTCAAACCTGTGTCTGTACAAGATCCGACAGAACTTCAAAAAAATGGATTGTTACGGGTACTGATCCATAGTCAATTATGGAAATTTCGTGAGTCTCTCACATACACTTTTCCGTTGTCTTTTCAGTGCAAAATATGGAAAGGGTTGGTGAACTGGAAATTACAAAACAAGTGTGTCTCACGTCAATTACAAGCTAGTTACATGCTGTTAAGTTGGTTACAGCTGCATATATATAAAACTAATTACAAGTCAGAATCATTGAATAACAGAAGAAGAAGATTTAATAAGTCTCATTCCTATCATCACTCTTTCTATCTCTCTGTATCTTAAAAGCCTGTGATACACGTTAACAACAGATAGCAGGACCCTGACCATCTAAGGCTTTCACAAGTGTGAAAACAAACTCAACGAAGACCAGAGATGCGTATATGCTTGCTGCTGCTCGTGTTTCATGATACAAATTAAACCCTTTCACGTCAATTACGATATCTTCCATTGAATACATTGAAGTGATCAAACTGCTAGAAAAAACTTTCGAGATTAAAGTTTCTTCCATAGAATTCTTTGCTTTTTGTCACCCTTTATTCACTTTTCTGCCTGCTTGACGAAAGTGAGTAGACTTGACATTGTAGAGACCTTTATCCATTCATAGTATACACATTAGAGGCAGTGTGCATGTGAACGTAGGACTTTCCAGTTAATGTCGCAATCTATGATATGGAAAGGGGAAAGAAAGTTTATTGAACAATTCAATTCACTTATTCAGTAACTTTATTACTTATTCCTTACGAGCGATATGTTTTAAATTTTTAAATCAGAATATTCTTTTGAATCGTTATATATATATATATCTTCTCCATTTATTTAAGACTTAAAAAATTCACTAATATGTCTCTACATGTAATTTGATCTTTTTCTCTATTTCATGGTCTTTTTAAATTTATGTTATTTCTTTTGAAGATATCACAAAATACGAAGAACAGCTGCCCAGTGAACAGTAGTAGGAGAAGCAACAAACTGACTAACAACATGAACAACATATGCAATATCTGGACAAGTAATGGTGAGATATATCAAACTTCCAACAATAGTGTGGTATAAAGTGGGATCTATCAAAGGTAAATCATCAGAAGAAGAGTACCTTGCGTTAACCTCAATGAGAGTATTTACAGTTTTGTTATCAGTAAGTCTAGCCCGCTCAAGAATATTTGCAACATATTTCGACTAAGAAAAAAGGTAACCTCTAGGTGAGTATGCTACCTCAATACCCAGGAAATATCAAAGATAACTCAAATCCTTCATTTCAAATCGTCTAGCTAACTCTGTCTTAAAAACTGAAATACCATCAATGTCATCACCAGTAATAATCATGTCATCAACATATAATGACAGAATGATAGGACTAGCATCAGTGCACTTAATAAAAAAAACAGAACCATGACTGCTAGGAATAAAGCCAAGAGATAAGATCACAATAGAGAATTTCTCAAACCAAGCATGGGGTCCTTGTTTGAGACCATATAATACTTTCTTAAGCTTACAAACATATCCAGAGTCATGTGAAATACCAGGAGCGGGTGCCATGTAAACTTCTTCTTGAAGATCTCCATTTAAGAAGGCATTTTTAACATCAAGCTAAGAAATATGCCACTGACGAATCGAAGCTACGACAATAAGAGAATGAATAGTAGTCATTTTTGCAACTGGGACAAATGTCTCCTCATAATCCATACCATACTGTTGAGAATATCCTTTTGCAGATGTATCTCCCATGAAAAATACAAACCTTGTTGTACTTTTTCTTTCATCCAGATCTCTACCCCAATCACTATCCGAGTAGCTAGTAAGATTGAAATTTGTACTTGAGGTACTCTATCTTATACACCCAATGACAACCAACAACACTCTTATCAGGAGGTAGAGGAACCAGATCCCAAGTATCTATCTTATGCAAAATAGAAAGTTTCTCATCCATAGGTTGCTGCCAAAATGGATCAAGAATTGCTTCTTTATAGGAAGAGGGCTCAAAGAGATAATGAATAGAAGCTAAAAAGGAAGTAAATGATGAAGAATAACAAGAATAAGTGAAATCTAGTAGTTTTGTGGACTTACAAATGCGGATGGACTGACGTAGAGGTGGATCCACAATCTCAGATGAAGCTTAAGGGGCTGTAGATGAGAATGGAGCTTCAGGTGTGCCAGAGAGTAAAGTACCAGTACCTGTAGAGTTATGAGTACAAATTGATCGAACATGGAGAGAGGTATCATTACCAAAATCCTCAGAAAAGGGATCTATATGAATAATATTAGATTTAGTCATGCTATGAGTAGTGGATGGAATAAAAAAGAAAGGTATGTGCTCAAGAAAGACAACATGACGAGACACATAAAGTTTCTGAGTTATTGGATCAAACCAACAATACACCTTTTACCTTCAACATAACCCAGAAAGACACAAACAACGGATCGAGA